AAAAAAAAAAAAGATACCCGTTAGCAAGGAAACACGCCAAGTTCACATGGTAACATGTGTCCTGAAGTTTTGGGGGGGGGTTTCTCCGGGAGGCTCCTGGAGGAGTGAAGGGTGACATTACAGCTGGGGAACAGGAGAGGCCAGGCAAGGGGTGAGAGAGCTCGGGGTGTGAGAGGAATGGGGGGCTGGCCGTGGGGGGACAATGGGGGTAAAGACACCGGGCCCTGAGGACAAGAGTAGTCCAAGGAGACTTGTGGGGGGCTACTGCAGGCCTCCTGGAAGGAGGAGGGGAGAGGAGTGACAGGATTTGGGATGGGTCAGTTAGGGGCAGGGAGGGTGGTGAGTGGAGAGGAGCCAAGGATGCCCAGCGGACCCTGGGCAGATGGTGTTCTCACACCTCCGTTCTGAGTCCTCCCCGAGAACTCTCTGTGCTGGGCCCTCCTAACACTGGGGACCAGGTGGGCCTGGCTGCTGGGGAGTGAGCAGGGGTGGGGGAGCCTAGGCTACTGCTCCCCGCAACCGCGGAGGGGCCCTGCCCTGGGGCATGGTGTGGGGGTGGCTGCCCACAGAACCCCGTGGCAGTTAAGAGGTGGGCAGGGCCCTGTGCCAGGGCGGGTCACTCCTCCTGGCGCCAGACCACGGACTAGAGACAAACCCAGGACAAACCCCCAAGATGCTGCCCAGAGGACTCTAGCCTCCCGAGCTCAGCGAGCTGCCTGTGGTGGGGGCCGCATGGCCAGGGAAGGTGTCCCAGAGGAGGTGATGTTGCAGCTGGGCCCTGAGACTAAGTGGGGACTGCCCAGCAGCAGGAAGAATCAGGGCAAAAAGTCCCTTGAAATGGCAGAAAAGGCCTGGCAAGGGTGGGGAAAGGGTGGGTGCCGAGGACATCGAGGGCCTGGACCGCCTGACTGATGCCAATGGACTGGACCCCAGCCGAGGCCCAGGCTGCCTGCCCATTGTACTGGGGGCTTGAAGTCACCAGGTTTGCGAGACGGGTTGGATCCCCCGGTTACCTCCAAAAAGGTGACAAGCTATGCTTGGGGAGACAGCTTGGGGAGTTTATTTGGCTTCATTGGATCCCGAGGCCGAGGCCCCAACCCTGGCCGGGGCAGCAGGAAGGCACCAGAGAGTCCTGGCCCTAGATGACCCCCAGGGTGGGGGTGGGGGGGTCCAGGCACTAAGCCCTGGGGCAGGGGCCACAGTAGCAGGGCTTGGTCCAAAGTGCTGGTGACAGCTGAGGCTGGCCCTCTCCCCTGCACTTCCCCTCCTTCCTGCACCACCCCTGGGGGCAATTCCCTGAGACAGGCTCTGGTCCTCCCAACCAGCTGGGTACAGTGTTGGGCCCCAATGGGGCAGGTAAGTCGGGGGACCCAAAGGTTGCAGGTGTGTGGGGGCTGTAGGCCCCCCATCCAGTGTGAAGGCTTCCTGTGCAGTGTAGTGTTCCTGACCCCCAAAGGGGGTGGGGTCCCTGGGGGAAACCGGGCAGCTCCAGGCTTGCCCGGCTCCTGTTCCAGTGTATACTGTGGGTCCTCTGGGGCAGCTGGAGCACGGGGGAGCGGCCCGGCCCACTCAGGGCCCTGCCTCTGGCGCCCACGGGGCCTGGGCACCTATGTCTTTGGTCTGTGCCCTGCAGTCCTGAGGGCCCCCCCGGAAGGGGTTGGTGGGTGGAGAGTCCCAGAAGGGGTCCGAGTCTGGGAACAAGGTCCAGGGTGCCCGGCGGGGCGCAGGCTGTGGCGAGGACAAAGGCGAAGGCCGTGGCCCAGCTGATACGAAGCTCCACGGGTCGATGCGGCTGCGAAGGGGTGAGGGCCGGGGTCGGCTGATGAGGCCTAGGGGCGGTGAGCGTGGAGTGCCTGGGGTGCCAGGAGCGGAGCGTGATATCCCGGGTGGGGGTGAGACAGTGCTTCCTAGGAAGTGGGGGGAGGGGGCACGGGGGTCAGGCAGCCACCAAATCCTGGGTGTCCGCAGGAGGCACTGCCCGGCTCTGTGCCTTGGTTTTCCCACCTGCACAGGGAGCTGCTCGACTCAGAACGTCCATGGCCCTTTCTGCTCTGTGGAGCATCTGTTTATGCAGTGCTAAGAGCAAGCCTGGGCCTGGATCCCAGCTCTGCCATTTACTGGTGGGAGCCTTGAGCCCCTTGATCTCTCTGTGCCTTAAACTTCCTCATCTAGAACCCGGGTGTAACAGGAGTACCTTGCTCACAGGGTCGCCAGGGTGGTTAAATGAGACAAATCTCTCTCTATGGCAGTAGGAACAGTACCTGGCTCCAAGTTAGCAACCAGTAGGCGTTAGCTAGCTATCGTCACCTCACCTCACGATGATTATTCCTATTATTTCACAACCCGCCTGGCCGGGCCCCACCCCATCCCCCACCACTGGGTGGCTGAACTTAGAACTCAGGTCCTTAGAGGCGTTCCCCCGCCTACTGCCCTGC